CAGATGAACTGATTGTCAGTCTGAGGTATGTACAGTTGGTTGTGTGCTTCAGTGTGACGTTGCACTTGTTCCCTGAGATCTGGTTTTCTTCTGGTAAGCCATGACTCGGGTCTTATCCAGATTGACTGTCAGCACCCAGGTCTGACAGTACTGCTTACTGTCGTTGTGACATCGTAGCGTTTAACTCCTACACCACTTTGAAGGAGTTTGTAAAACAATCCTTCATGCCAAATTGAGTCTGATGCTTTTTTGAAATCGATAAAGCAAGCAAATATTTTTCCCTTGATTTTTTTTTTTTTAGTGGACACGTTTGTTTGAATGTGTGTAGGGTGTAAATGTGATCGATTGTGTGGCAGTTTGGTAGGAAGCCAGTTTGACTCTTACTCAGGACATTGTGCTAGGTAAGGAAGGCCAGTAGTCGGGTGTTCATGATACTGCGATGTGTTGTTGTTGAGTGTAAAGTGGTACTTGTTTCCCTGAGATTCATCAAGTTACTGTTCACACAGATGCCCCGGTAGTTGTTCGGGTCAAGGCTGTCTCCACTCTTATAGAGGGGCGTGATCAGTCCTTGATCCCAGGCCTCAGGAATAATATCCAGCTCTCAGGATGAAGTTGAAGAGTTTGAGCAACTCTTGAGCTACTGTGATGCCGCTTTTCAGTATCAGTGTTTTTTTTTTCTTTTCAGCATGGAATTAACATTTATCTGTTCCTCTATACCAGCAGATAATTGTTAAAAGCACATCGTAGCATGGGATCCTGGGATCTAAATATGGAATCCTGAAATGCATGGGCTTGTGAGGGTGTTGAGGATTGTGCCTGACCTCTTCCCTTCCCTATTCATGTGATACCTCCCTATACCTCTCTCCCTTCCCATCGGACCTGTGGGATCATCAGAAAGTTCCCAATCCAGCTCTTTTCCCAGATGGATCGCCGGGAATCGGCTTCCACAGTCCAGTTTCCTGTCCACCTCTCTTTCTCACTGCTACTCTCCCTCTTCCCAGTCTGTCTCAGATTTGTTCGGAACGCCATTCGGGATGTCGAAGGGAGAGACGGAGGAGCTCATTGAAATCGAGATCGATGGCCAGGAGAAACAGGAGTGCATGGAAGAGGGGTAAAATCTCAGTTTCTCTCGTCGAGTTGAGCCCTATCGAATGTCACCGGGCTCTCTAGGTGTATTATGTTCTGTATCTAAACAAGCTTAAAAAAGCATTTTATTTTTCAAGCAAACTTTTATTCTCTCCGGCTCCACTACTGACTCTGTCACTCTTTGTGTAGGTTAAACAAGTCACCTACTCACTCTATCCTGCACCAAATGCAAATAATATTACAAGGGTATGCAGACTGACGCAAACAGAATTAATTGCTTGACGTCATTGTGTCAGACCAGCAGTAATGAGGATAGTAGATTCACCAGACCCGCCACTAGGGGGCGTTAAGGCCTATTGTCTGTACACAGTTTTGCTTGTGGTGTATTAATTGATTAATTGGCAAACTGTCAAAGGGCTGTGATATTTTCAGATGAGGTTAATTTAGACTAGTTTGGTACATAAAGGGACTCATAGTGGTAGTTGGTGTAGGGTTAGTTTGGAACAATTATTTGTATAATGTGACCATAAGACTTCAGATGAACTTGGTCTCCTGGC